CTTGGCAGGAAACCTGCGTTGAGAGGATGCCCTGCTCTGAATCTGGGAATCTGGGGGAATGGATCATGGCTGTGTATAAATAGCAAATCACTGCACAATGCTTCACGCTTTTACTGCAGAGAAAAAGATGGACAGAGAGAAATACACAAGAAAGGCACATAAACACTGTCAGATAGAGATAGAGACAGAGAGGGAGACAGACAGGGAGAGACAGAGAGAGGGAGGATTAACTTCTCATCCAGTCTTTGCTGTTGCATAGATTGTAAGTAGCTTATTGCGCAAAGCAGCCTGCATGTAACCGGTGCGTTCGCATGATTTGTTTTGGGAGGTTTTTTTTTGTGTGTGTGTGTGTTCAGTACATCGCTGACCTCATGCAGGCAACTAAGAGCTTTGGGCCTAAAATAATCAAACTGGAGAACCTGGCAAGCTGTGCTCTACTAAGAATGGATCTGAAGCTACAAAAGGGCAACAGCTTTACTTGCGTATAGACATTACTTTTTAATCTTTAATGCTGAAACATGTAATTGGGCGCAGTAAATATCAGAGAACAGAGATCCAGGCTGTGCTTTTCCAGCAGCCTCGGTCAACATGAAGCCATGCAGGGGCGTGGTTCCTGTAGGCTATAAAACTCAACCAACACAATTTTAAACTTAAATCAGAGTATGATCATGATTCATTTATAATTGCAGTACGTTCACATTTTGCATTGCAGTCTAACTGCATGCCAGAGCCAACTTTCCTGTTTAATACATTTTATTCAAACGTGCTTTATTTTAATCTTCTATTTCATTTGACTCTTTTAAATCTTATCTGTGGATGCCTTTTATCATTGCCTTGCAGTGGTAACATATTTCATCAAACAAGGCCTTACACGTCTTATTACATTAAGCATGCAGAATTGCCTTTTTCTTTCTTGTTTCACAGCAATTTCCCACAGTGTGTTTTCTTTGTAAAAGAAGACTTGTGCATCTGCGCTGTGTTGTATATATAAATGTATAACCGAGGAGGCAGAGTGGACAGGCTTTGCAGTTTCATAGCTGGTATCTGCTCGTGGGTTTTCATATGAATGGTTGACAAATTGCTTTTTAAAAAGTATTCAAGGTAGATTTTTTTTTCAAGTTTGCAGTCAGTGCAGATTCTTTGTGGACAAAAGCCACACCTCCTGCTGTCACCAGACAGCAAGTGACAGCAGGAGGTGTTTTTCATCGTGTCACTCTGAGACAATAAATTACTTTGAAAATGGCAATATGAATTCTTGCTTTTCTATTTCTGCAAGTTTCTTTTTGCAGAAACATTTTTCTCAAATTGCTTCACTCTCTTAAATGTCTTTGAAAATAGAAAGATGTGTATTTTATATTATAATGCAGCATTTAATTTCTTTTTTCTTTTACAACGAGGAACTCTTCTTGTAGATTACAGTAAACACACCATAACATAACAGCTTAATGGTAGAAAAGGAACAGAGACCCTGATTTCTTACTCTGTCCATTTTCAGAGTAATAATCAATACCATAATTGACGGTGTGCAACCTGTAAAATCATTCAGTACATATAGAGGTAGGGGACGAGTGTAGTGACACTGATGTCGAAATGGGGACTGCAGATATTTTGTTTACTAATCACTGCAGCACAATATTGTTATTATGTATAATATAAAACTTCAGTGTACCGTAAAAATGTTTATCTTAATCACGATTGGCTTGGAGCGCTGAAAGCCAACATCAGTGTAGATAATTAAACAGCTCTTTTATCCACTTCAGCATTTAGTACTTGTGTCACTGAAATGTTGTGTTTATGTGTTTGTATTGTGCAGAGCTGTGTTGCCCTTACCTCGATACGACGAGGGCAAAATTAACATCTTCAGCATCCTCATTAGCAGCTCTCCTGGAAACTGGAAGTACTTGACCTCCTGCAGCAGAAGAGAAAAGCTGTTTTTTGTTTTTTTTTACTTTGCCAACAAATCTGAGGTCAAACACCATGTCAACATCATTATTATTACTGCAACACAAATTGTAAAATGACATCCTCTCTAAATCAGACATTGCCTTCTTTTTGTAACTTACCAAACAGACCCTTTTTAGTATACAACTGCCCTTTAGATTACACTTTCCCATGTAAAGATGACTTCAACACAAAACCGATTGGATCTGAAGAAACGCTCCGAGCCTTGCAAACCTCTTAGGTCACTTGGTATGGACCTTTTAGTTTTAACACTATATTCAGTCACTTTCAGATTACATGTTATCTGTTGCTTTTTTTTTTCAACCAAAGGCTAAAGTTGTTTCAAATCCAACATCAATATCAGTAACATCATTTTGCGTTCAATAACTGAACAGGCCTCAGTGTGTCTTTTGTGCATGTGTTGCCATCTTTCTGATTTTCTGGCTAAAAAAAATTCTACACTGGCTCAAAACACAATGGCTGAAAAGCAAGGACAAGGACGCGTTAAACATGTACTATTTTAGAGCTCTATTCATAGTACGGCTAAAAAGCACTGAACCAATCACACTGAATCATAATTTGACGTAATCCCACATTCAAAGAATTTTCCATTATTTTCAACTAAAATTTGAGTGACGTAGGTTGAGTTAGAATTTTCATCCCTTTATTTTCCATCCACCCATCCATCCATCCATCTTCTTCCGCTTATCCGGGGCCGGGTCACGGGGGCAGCAGCCCAAGCAGAGAAGCCCAGACCTCCCTCTCCCCAGCCACCTCCTCCATCTTTTCCAGGGGAACAACAAGGCGTTCCAGGCCAGCCGAAGGATATAATCTCTCCAGCGTGTCCTGGGTCTGCCCCGGGCCTCCTCCCTGTGGAACATGCCCAGAACACCTTACCCAGGAGGTGCCCAGGAGGCATCCTTATCAGATGCCCGAATCACCTCAACTGATTCCTTTCGATGTGGAGCAGCGGCTCTACTCTGAGCACCTCCCGAATGGCCGAACTTCTGGCCCTATCTCTAAGGGAGAGTCCAGCCACCCTTTGGAGGAAGCTCATTTCTGCCGCTTGTATTCGCAATCTCGTTCTTTCGGTCACACCCACAGCTCGTGACCATAACTGATCTACTCCCTACCCTCACCTATGGTTTATCCTCAGCTATCAAAAACAAACACAAGTTTTCATCAAAGCCACTTGTTTGTAAAAAATGTAAGAATACGTATAAGAGAAGTTCTCTGCGGCCTGCTGGAGCGGGGGGGCTAGGAGGAGTTGGCCGTCCGACTGCGGTCTGGAGTGTGGGGCCTCCCTGCTGCTGCGGAGTCGGGGCGGTCTGCCTCTCCCCACCGCAGGGAAAAGGTAACACCACCTGGGTCTGGGTGCAGTTCCCCCCTCCAGGGGCAAGGGTACCTAGACCCGGTTCGTAGAGTACGCTTGGGGAGTGTGATCGTGTGTACAGCGTCTCTTTATGTCTGTCTCCACGTTGGTTGAGTGTGGAGTAAGTGCATATGAGAGCATGAGGGTGGGAATGGATGTTTGTGTCTGTGTGTGCCTGTATGTCTGTGCCTATATGTCAGGTTGGGTATCAGACGCCACCTCTCTGGGGACACCTCAGGCCCTCCAAGGTTTGGAGGCCTATCTCCACCCACCACCACTTCCCCTGCCAGTGGCGGACTCCCTCAGGTGTCGGTGCGTTGGTGCTTCTTTGTGTCTGGGGGTGGGCGTCCGGGTACACACCGGCTCACTCCTTGGCGGCCGCTTATCAGGGCCTGGAGCCTGGGGCTCGCTCAGGCCACTTCGGAGGTGGGGTGCCCCCGGCCTCTTGGCCTGGGGCTCGGTCACTCAGGCACAGCTGGCTGCCGGCGGAGCTCACGGGCGCGTCACTGCAACTCCCCCTGACTTCTGCTCCGCGGCTGCTGAGTGAGCCCTCATCTGGGACTCTCCTCAGCGCTTACTGAGACAGTGGCGCGGCTGCCCCTCTGTTGGTCTTCCTTGGTCTGTTGTGTTCTGGGGGCCTCTGGATGTCTGGAGTTTTGATCTCCTCCATACCTGCTTCATACCCTGGAGGACGGGGCTGTGGCTCCCCCCACTCCCGAGCAGATCGTTACATGGAGAAACCTTTGGAATACAAGCGCGCTGATCCACACAGGTATGCACACACGGGTATTCACAGACACGGACTACAGCTTTCTTGGCTGCTGCCTCAAAGCACATTGTGCGCTGTCTATCTTGCGTGCTGCACAATATCGTTTATTACTTAGTATCTACTGATATCTACTGCTAGCTAGTTTATTGTGATGGTGCCGTTTTTTTTATTATGTTGCTCTTTGTTGTTTGCTTTCTCTTCTGTTTTTTTTCTCCATACAGGTGACCCAGGTGTTTGTTTGTTTTTGTTGTTTTGTTTTTTTTTCTTTCTTCCCCCCTTCTCACCGTCTCTTCTCCCCTTTGGTTTTCTTTCTCTCCCTCTCTTTCTTTCATTCTTTTTCCCTGTCCTATCCCCCAGTCATGTCTGTCCCGTTTGTAGGAACTGAAAATAAAATAAATTCATAATTATAATAAAGGTCAATCAAATGGACCAATATGGCAAGGCCATGATGATCCACTTGGTAAAATAAATCCGCTTGGCATCTTTCTTGGCCTTAAGACAACAATTCTGATGGCTAAAGATCCAAAAAAGAATACGTATAAGAAAAGAAAAAAGAATCAGTCACGATCCAGGGTCATTTCCGTTATGCCTAGGTTGCCGTTATAGTTCAATGTTTCTTAGATTCTCCTTGTGTCTTCACCCTGTGTTTAAGTCTCATTCCTGAGTCTCATTATGTTTCCTGTTTATTTTGAAGAGGT